TATTTTTCCACTACCATTTAGTCTCCTTATAACTCCTCCTCCCCCAGCTATCACCACACTGTTGTCCATGCTCATGAGTCCTTTAAATATTCTTTTTTTTTTTTTGCAGTAGACACAATTTGAAATACATAACTGATGGAGTGTAATACTTTCCTTCCTGGGTGACATGGATTAAAGTATTTTCAGATGTCAAGAGAATATCATAAAGTGTGACTCTATAAAGATTCAGTGTCAAAAAAATTCTCAATTTTACTTCATTGGATATTTGCAAAATTGCCAACAGCTGCACATAAAAGCAAAACACTAAATGTGTGAACCAGAATGAGAACATTCATGAAGTGGGTAAAAAGGGATACAGGAACTTAGCAGGCCTATTATATGTGAATCATGTTTTATCACATCATTGCAAGATTCTCACAGCCCTTAATATTCATTTATAGTTACCTAGGAAAATACTAGTTTTTCTACTGCTTCAATTAGTCTACTAAAGTTTTAGTAAAAGATTTTCCATTAGTAATTTTTTTTTACAGATGTTTGATTTGAATCGTATTTCTCAAAACAGAAAAAGGAAATACTTGATGTTTTTCAGTTTTCCATGTAAGACCAGTATGTGACTTCTAAAAATGCCTCTGTTAATACTATATAGGTAGAGACAAAGGAATATTAAAATATAAAAATACTTCTAAATGATTATTTAGAAGGAGTATTAGTTGAGAGATCACTAAATGTTAATTTGAATATTTCTGAAGGATCAACAATTTCTCATTTCAGTAATGACATCTTTTAAACACAATGAAATATGTCAGGTGATGTGGCACTTTATATTTGTCTTAAAAATGAAGGTAAATTACTATGAGTATAATTCAGTGCCACCGAACAAATACTTCTATCCTTTTATAGAAGAAAGTAAGAGGAGAAGCTATAAGTGATGTTTATCTTCCATTTAAAAAACCCACAAAAAATTCTTTGCTCTTGTATAGCAAAGAATTTGCTATACACTCAAGGGATTTCAATTCATCACTTAATGACCATGAATTCACTAATATGCCCACAGCACATCTGTGAAAAGTAGACTATTCCTTTTTTACCAGTGAATAGATTTGAGAATAATCACCAGTAACCTGGTGGCAGAAAGGGAATTGAACAGAGACACTAATTTCAAACATATAGTTAGTGGCAGGCAAAATCATGGTCCACATCCTACTCCCCAGAACTTGTAAATATGTTGGGTTACATGAAAGGAGAATTAAGGTTGCAGATGCAATTAAGGTTGTTAATCAGCTGACCTTAAAATAGGGAGAGCATCCTGGATTATACAGGTGGACTCAATATAATCACAAGGATCCTTAAAAAGTAAATGAGGTTCTTGGCTGGTGTGGCTCAGTTGGCTGGAGCATTGTCCCGTAAACCAAACGGCCACTGGTTTAGTTCCCGATCACCGCACGTACCTGGGTTGCAGTGTTCGATCCACAGCCCGGGCGAGGACAAGAGGCAACTGATTAATGTTTCTCTCTCACATCTGTGTTTCTCTCCCTCTCTTGTTCCCTCCCTTCCTCTTTCTTTAAAATCAATGAGCATGCCCTCCAGTCAGGATAAAATAAAAAAAATGAAAGAGGTAGACAAGAGAGAAGATCAGAGTGATGTGGTAGAACAGCTTGACCCACTGTCGCTGGCTTTGAAGATAGAAGAGGAATGCTAAAAAAGCGAGGAGACAGACTCTTCCCTCAGGGCCTCTGGAAGGAATGCAGCCTTGCCCACTCCTCGATTTTAGCCCAGTGAGACCCATGGTGAACTTCTGATCTAAAGAAGGGGAAGATAAGTTTGTGATATTTTAAGCCACCAAGTTTGGTAACTTATTAGAACAACAGTAGAAAACTAACAGACAGCTGCTAATCAATCAAGTAATAAAATTGAAGCAATAGAAGCAATTAATACAAACACAATAATTAAGAAAGACAATAAATAATCAATCTGAGCAACCAAAGAATAACATTTTACCTGGAAATGCAAGACCATTTTGAAGTAATAAAAGGAGAAACACACAGATTCCTTGGCATAAAGAAAGTTGGGAAAGAAATATGTAAGAGGAATTTTTTTTTCTTCCACTAGAATACTACTACTAGAAGACAAAGAAGATTAATGAAAAGAACATATTGATCTAAATGGTGAAGCAAGAGTTTTTAAAAAGCTTTTTGAAAATGCTTTCCAGGAGAAGTTTGAGAATCTTTGTCCCTAGAGAACTTTAAGATACATAGTGATCTGTTTTATCTATCTTGGATGGTTTAGATATATAATTGCCTGATGACTAGGGCCTAGATTATACAACCTCTCATGGCCTCTCCAGTCTAAATACTTTATACCAACTTGAGTCTATTCATTTCAGTGCCACAAATAGACAGTTATTGCCAATCTACTCATAAATCATTCTGCTACAAATAACCAGGGAATAAGACATAAACCTCCACTTCAAGAAGTTCACAATTTAATCATGCAGTAAGGTAAACACTTACTGTATTTAAGCTAGACAATGAGAAAAATCATAAGAGCTAGATAAGTGACATATTGATTAAAACCAATTAAATATATAAAAATTAATGCATTCTTATTGATCATTAAACAAATAAACAGTATCATTAGTCATCATGGAGATTAGTAGGGCACCAACTTAGTGCAATGAAAATTTATCCTGCCTTTCCTAAAACACTATTAAGGAAAATAAAGTATGAGAGAGTTCTTTATTGCAGAATTTCAGCTAAACAATACAGAAGAAATGATAAAGTTAGGTTCTATCTGGACCATAACTATAATGTAAAATTGCTATTTTACAACCCCACTTTAAAATAATGGATCTAGGCAATGATTACCAATAGATGCTAAAACATTAAGTGAAATTTGATGGTCAGCTTTATCATGGGGTGACCAGGCTGAGACCACCTAACACACCAAGCAGTCTTAACATCACTGCACATGCTATCAACCATCATGTACCTCTTCTGTGAGTTGCTATTAAATATATAGGACCACCTATAAAGTATTATTTCCCCCCAAAAGCTGAACCCAAATCTAATGCAACCTCCAAATCTAAGTATCTTTTCACAGGAAATACAGGGATAAAGGAGCAAGTTAAAGAACATGGAATGGAAGCAAGGATGTGGACAAGGATATATAACCCAATTTCTCCAGAAAATTAATGACATTTAAATAGGGAAGGGAAAGAAGATTGTTATAGAATAAAAGAGATCTAAGAGACATAACAACCAAATGTAACATATAGACCTTGTTTGGGACTAGACTCAAAAAAATAAACAAACAACTCTAAAAAGTCATTTTTAAGATCACCAGAGAAATTTAAATATGGACTAGGTAAAAAATATTACAGAATTGTTATAATGTGATAAAGGCATGGCATTATTAAAAATATTTCTTATCTGTTAAAGATACCTACTGAAGTGTTCAAAAATTTAAAAAATATGACCTCCAATTATACTTTAAAATACTCAAGTAATGTATTGTGTGTGAAGAATATGTGGAATGAGATTAGCAAAAAAGTGATATATATTCAAGTTGCATGATGAGACATGAGGGTCATTATAATATACTTTCCCCTTATGTTTGAACTTTCCATAATAAAAACATTTTAGAGGATTAAAACAATAGTAAATAAATAAAAGGGTGCCTAATCCTCTTGATTACCTCTCATCATTGAACTAGTGAACTATCACAAATAAACTATCACTCTAATGCCCAATAAATAAAGGAGCAGTAGATCTGTTTCTGTTTATGTGGAATTAAAGCATTCAGTTACTTAAGGTTAGTGTTGTTACATTTGTCCAAAATTCCTAATTCTCAACTTTTTGGTAACTAATTTATTTGCTTTGAAGTGATTAGCTTATATAAAATCTAGTGTAGACATTTAATTAACAATGTTACTCTCTTGCCTGATTTTATTTTATTTTTTAATAGTTTATTTTTACTATATTTTTCCATAACCATTTACATCCCCATACCCTCTTCCACCGACACCCACCACCCTCCCCCCTGAAATCACCACACTGTTGCCCATGTCCATGAGTCCTTTTCCTTTTTTGCTCTATTGCTTCACCCCACAATCACCAACCCCTGCACCGTACCCACTCAGAGCTTTGCCTGATTTTAAAGTACAACTGAGACTTGTCTATGCGGACAAGGGCTGCAGAGCAAAATAGATTCATCTTCAATGTTCCAGGCGTATAAGGATAAATGCCAGATGTGATCTACAGTAGTTCAAATTATAGGATTAAATATCAGAAGTTCATGGAACGGCTCTTTAGCAATAATCCAAGCAGTGAAGCAAAATATAAATCTCAGACTATTCAGGAGCCTTTGAAAGCATTCATAATAGATTATCTCTTTTTTAAAAGTTATTCTTTAAAAGACTTTATTTGCAAATAATTTTTCTAAACAAGACTTGAAGGAGCCCATGTCCTCCAAACTACATTTTAATGTGATTAAAAAACATTTTCAAAGAAATGTTAAACTTTATAATACATATGAAAACAATCTTTTTATCTGAAATGCTATACATTTTTCAAAATGTAGTACATTTTCTTTTCTTTTTAAAGGTAGCTTCTCATGAAGAGACATGCAAAAAGCCAGTTATTTTCCACCAAAAGAAAGTGAACACTGGGGCGGGGGCATTTAATTCACATAAGTTACATTACAGAGATTTAAAGCAGGCCTTTCAGCTTATTTTTTCCCCATGCAATTTAAGTTAAGTGCTCAGGGATTGTGGGTATAATAGCAATGAAGTTAATTATTTCTGTAATACATAAAGAATATGCATTACATTTTTTTTCATGTAAGGAGTTGTGCTATGGATAATAACAATTATGAGGAGGATTTGTAACTCTGGCATTCGATTTAGCCAAGGATGTAGAAGAAATTATGCTCGCTCCCAAGATTCATATAACACCTGCTACCTTGTATGTCTCCTTCCCAGGCCTGAGAGCCAAACATCTTACCGACTACAGCCTCGGTGTATTTCCCCTCCGCGGGAAGAGGGAAGTACTGGTTTGATGATAAATTGCTGCCATATCCCAGGAGAAAGCCTTCCAGTTTTACGTTAGGATTTGGACGCAGGAACTTCAGGAGGATAGAGTCATTTGTGGTATTGATGTGGACTTTCAGGTTTGGCCTTTTACCTAAAGATGGGAATGAAAAAGTAGGTGGCTGTTACTTTACCCCATTAGCATTCCATGACGATTTTGGAGCAAAAGTTAGTTGTTATTGGAAAGCACCTTATCTCTACTTCGTTACTGTATATCACAACGCCCCCTCCTGAATAGCAGAAATACAGGTAATTCTGAGATCACAGCAAACAGATTTTATGGCATATAAAGCAGTCCGGAATACAAAGTAAAATTGTAGGGTTTAATATTTGGTAATTTGTCACTGAGCATGTAGATGAGACTTAAAGCTATATTGGCTGTCCACAATTGGTCAAAACTTCATTTTACATATATTGTCTGGGAATGGTGAAAAGATCTGTAATTGGTAAATTAAATTACTACACTTTGAAAAGCTCCAGCTTCCTCTCTGCTGCTCTGTGGCTGCACCTCCAAGGACTTAGTGATGAACAGAGTAGGAAGGGAAGGAAGTAGGAGGATTTCAGCTTAGGGTAACTGAGATGGTAGCATAGAGAATTCCAAAAGAGGAGAAGTGTTAAGGAGAAAAGGGATTAGTTCTATTTGGAGCTCACTGGGACAGTGAGACAAACACATGGAGATGCCCAACCCAAAGTCAAATATCTAAGTGTGATACTCAGGAATGGAGTATAGATCCACTTGGGTGTCATTCATTTCTAAATGATCATTGGGTGAATTTTCTCAGAAAGACTGTACAGAGTGAGGAGAGAAAACAATTAAATTTTTAAGGCTTTTTTATTTTTTTAATTTTAATTTAATTTTTTTTTTACTAGGCTGTCAACAGAAGCAGATGATCACAATAACCAAATAACCAGGGGTCTTGCCCAAGCAGTGAGGAAACAATATTGTCATTTGTCTTTGGGGCAGAAGAAGCTGAGCTCAAATTCCAGCTCTGCCACATACTTAGTGTGGTCTCTGGCTACTCACTGAACAGGCTGAACCTCGGTTTCCCTTTCCTAATTCATAAATTATGGATAATGGACAACATCTACTTTAACAGGGTGTTTACTAAGATTAGTTTAAATGGTACCATCTCAAAGCTGTCACATAGTAGTTTCTCAATAATTGGTTACTTGATTAGGCCCATTCATAACCCTTTAGCCACAATCCAGAAATCTAAAGATTTTTGTTGAGTTCACAGCAAACTAATTTGGTAACAAAATTCAATCTGAACCGTCATAAGGCCTCTTAGTATTTTATAATCTCACTGAATAATTAGTGTGACTATTCATATGTTTAATTGTAGAAATGTTAATGTATTTAATTAAGGGGTGTTTGTCTAGAGCCCAATGAAGAGAATACTTAACATGTAGTCCAGGCATCCTAGTACATTTCTAAAATCCAAAGATTTTCTGAATTCAAAAACATGTCTGGCTCAAAGTTTTAGATGATAGATTGTGAATATTTTTTTCTCTCTTATCCACATGGGTTTCATGTTTAAAATATTTTACCTATTGAAAAAGATTGCACTTACTAATTTAATAACTCACCTTCCATTTCTCACTAATAAAAGATTTGTGTATATATACCAGTCAGCACCTCTGAACAGCATGGGCTTCCCAAAGTCATCATTCTACAGTTATACTATTCCAGTCAAAATCAACCTAGACTGCCTCAGTATAGCTACATAAAAGGATTCAAATAGGCCTTTGAAAAAATAAAAACAGCCCTTTCTTTAGATACCAGGTTTGGGAACCACTCTTGCCTCAGCAGCCAGTACTGCTATTTCTAGATATGTGCATAGCACTTTGTACTTTCCAAAGAACTTGATGTAATTTCTATGAATTTCTTAATTCTCAGATAGCAATTCCTATATTTATAGAAAAATTGAAACCCAGAGATATTGGGTGGCTTATCTAAAGTCTGAAGAAGACATATCTAGTCCTGTTCATCTAGTCCAATTTTCTTGTGGCACAAACAGCTAAACTGAGGGCAGACACACCTCTATCACCCTGCAAGTCAAGTTTTGACTTGAAATATCAGGGTCAAAACTAGATCTCAGGTTCTTACTTGGCTGGACTGCTCTCATTTTTACTGAGAACTTTGTTATTACCCAATAGAATACGGAGTGGCCAACGCCCCAGACCGTAACATTTGAGTTGATATTAACTTCTGATGTTTTGTCCTAACTTCATTAGATTTTGATGAAGTGATTTATACTTCAGATATGACAGATTTTGTTCAAGGGAATTTTTCCCTTCTTAGTTGTGTGCCTAAATTAATCCTAGAGTTACTCATCTTGCTCAACAGATGCAACAAATATAAGTCAAGCACATGTTCTGCTACTTTAGAAGGTCATCAGTTCCCACAATAAATCAAAACACAGCCAGCGTGTTTCCAACACCTTTTTGGGAAGAAGAAAGTAAGGAATTTTAGTGTACTTAGGCTGCACGCGCATTTGACTAAGAGCCAAGAGAAACAGCATCATCACATTAGGCCTTTGCTTGTAAATTTTGGCGTGATATACCACATTATACTCCCCTTGGCAAGTGGGAAAGATGGCTACACCAAGTGAGAAAAATATAGGCTGTAAACAGAATCACTGACCAACAGAAATGAAACTGTTCTCACTTCCTCTGCACATGAATTTTCATGACTCCAGTCTTTTTCCCTTTTCCTAATGATCTGTGTCAACAAATACATCAACATCATGTGACTTTCAAAATAATTGGCAGTTAGCATCCCTACTTAATCCAAAATTCCAATTCATATTGCTTTCTGTAGCTAAACTTTAAAAAGTTCTAAAAAGAAGCACACACATACAAACCTCACCTCAAAACAACAGCATCATCAGCTTAATATTTCGAGACTATCATCCCAGTTCCTTATTTGGAACGAGGCACTCAAATCCCTTTATTATCTAGTCATACATTACTTCTTCTCTTATAACTTTGCAGCACATCTTACTTTTTTGATGAGTACAATTTTCTCACATTCTTCAGTGCATACTAGGCCCTGGCCCTACACTTGTGCTGACATTGCCACCCCATATGGTTACCTCTGTCTTAGGTTTGTGTCTCTCCATCCCTTTGCTCACCCAGTTATTACTTCATTAGTTCTTTCAGTGCTCAGCAAAAACGTTAGGCAATTTTTCTCTTCTGAGTATTTAGAGTGCTCAGCAAAATGTTAGGCAATTTTTTTCTTCTGGGTATTTAGAGTACCACTAAATTTTATACTCTTGGACAATCCTCCCAATATTTTAGGGTATATCTGTGCATCCTATAACAATTTTTAATCTTTGATAAATGTATCTTCATTTTGAATAATTCTGGTTTAATGGTTGGAAACACTATATCATGTAATCTTTCAGCAGTATGAAGACCTCTGGTGAATGACTCAGAGATTATAGGAAAATAATATAACATGACACAACATTAACTAGGAAAACATTTATAAGTCAAATGACATATATGTCATCCAGAAAACCCCTAGGAAAACAAGAGTATAAGAAGAATATTTATTTGTCCTACATGATAAACAAAGCATATGCTAACCAAGAGTGAGACAAAATGAAGAATTTAAATATTTCATAAAAGCAATTAGTATGCCTATGAAAAAAAGATCGCATATTGTCAAGGTGGAATAGTGGATCTATGACAATTGCTCCTAATCCTCTCTTTGCAACACCCTAGGGTATATCTAAATATTTCAAAGGCTTTTTGGAAAATTCTATAAGAAAAACATCTTTCACAAGATGGACATGTAGGTAGATACACCTAGCTTCCTTGCACACCAAAAGAAGGATAATAACCAGTTTAAAAACAAAAACAACCATAACTGCTAGAAAATTGAACCGTATGGAAGTCCAACAACGAAGGAATTAAAGAAGCAACATTCATCCAGACTTGTAGGAGAGGCGGAGACAGGCAGCCAGGGCAGAGAAGTGCGGCAAGGTGGTGCTGGCAGACCAGGCGGTTCCACATTTGAGTGCAGATAAACCAGGAGGAACAACTGGGGAGCAAGACCCACCACATAATCCAGGGTTACAGCATGGGAAAATAATGCCTCAAAACCTCTGGCTGTAAAAGTCTGTGGGGGTTGTAGTGGTGGGAGAAACTCCCAGTCTCACACGAGAGTCTGTTGGAGGGGCCTACAGGGTCCTAGAACATAAACAAACCTAGCCACCCTAGAATCACCCAGTCACAATCTGAAAGGGCACAATTCATTTGTGGGAAGTGGGAGAAATGACTGAAAAAGTGGGATAATAGCTGAACAAGCAGCATTGTTCCCGGTATGACTCCTCCCCCACATACAGTGCCACAATGCAGCAAAGTGGGTTGCCCCACCCTGGTAAGTATATACAGCTCTGCTCCTTACAACTTAACAGGTGTGCTGAGACAAAGAAATATGGCCTAACTGAAAGAATAGATCAAAACTCCAGAAAAATAACTAAGTGACAAGGAGATAGTCAACCTATCAGAGGCAGAGTTCAAAACGCTGGTAATCAGGATGCTCAAAGAAGTGCTTGAGTATGGCTGCAAAATAGAGGAAGAAGTGAAGGCTATGAAAAATGAAATAAAGAAAATATACAAGGAACTAACAGTGACAGGATGGAAACCAGGACTCAAATTAACAATTTGGAACAGAAGGAAGAAATAAACATTCAACCAGAACAGAATGAAGAAACAATAATTCAAAAAAATGAGGAGAGGCTAAGGAACCTCTGGGAAACTTTAAACATTCCAACACCCAAATGATAGGGGTTCCAGAAGAAGAGGAAGAGCAAGAAATTGAAAACTTACTTGAAACAATAATGAAAGAAACAATAATGAAGGAAATAGACATGCAAGTCCAGGAAGCTAAGAGACTCCCAAAAAGTTGGACCCAAGAAGGAACACACCAAGATACATCACAATTAAATCACCCGAGATTAATGATAAGGAGAGAATCTTAAAAACAGCAAGAGAAAAGGAGACAGTTACCTACAAAGGAGTTCCCATAAGACTATCAGCTGATTCTTCAAAAGAAACCTTATAGGCAAGAAAGGGCTGGAAAGA